AACGGTAACTAAGCATGTCATGTCAGTAACGGTAACACCCCGCTAATAATCTGCGTAGCCCGCTTCGCGGCAGGGCCCGTTATCCACCTTCCGCGACATGTTTCTGCAGCTGAAATTTTATTCCTGGTTCCGGTTTTACCGGTTCCAGGTCTTAGATCGGTAATGAGCTTATGTCCGTCTGTCCTTTTCACGTCTTATGTCCGTCTGTGTGTGCCCATCTGTAGGTGATGTAAGCTATGTTAAGCAGTCACTTGTTGATCACTCCATCCTTTAAAACACTCTCACTATTTTACTCAACCAATCTCCGAGTCGAGATCATGTGCCACGTGTGCCGCGAGGAGTGACCGGAGGTCGGCGATGAGCGGCTAAGGGCGGCACAACAACATTAATATGGTATCTCAGCCAGAAAAGAAGTCAGGGCTGCCCGGAGGGCCCTATCTATAATACAGTGCTTAACACCGGAATTATTAGGGGATGCCCGCTCCCGATTTTCCCGGACGACGGACCCTATCGGGCATTCTCGACTCAATGGGAGCGCGTATTTCAATCTAGAAGCAAAGATGATCCCATTGAGTCGAAGTTTCCCCTTGTCTGTCGCAGGAAGAAGGGACTGATTTTGGCTCACACATGGGCCGCTCACTATGTCGGTTTGGCATCCCCTGGGGAACTCAAAATGATTCGACCTCGGTTGGAAGAATTATTGATTCCTCTCGCGTAAGCAACCAACCACGGCATTCTGATCCAGGGAGCTAATTATCCTACCCTTCCCTAGGCTCAAGGCACACGAGGAGAATTCAAAGAGAAAGCGTGATATGTAGGGGTTCCTGTAGTGACTCAGAATTTAATTATGTGGCGGCACTAACAGCAGACTCTGACTCTGACGACTTGCCCAAGACTGTAACCACTCCTCCAGTCAAGGTTTGTATATTTGTAAGTGTTTGAATTCAAACGACACACTGGGTAGTGGAAAGTTTGTACTTTCCCTGTGCTATTTGATTGAGTTCGCCGTAAGCTGATACCCGATTCCAGCAAAATCAAGGCACTCTACCGTTGGTCGCAGTCGTCGCCCGGGATATTCTCGCCATTCCGGGGGTCAGTATTGCTCTCGAGCGGTTGTTTTCGAGCATGAAGCACACCTTGACCGATGACAGAACCTCGGTGACCCCCGAGAATTCCTCCATGTGTATCACGATGAAGGAGCGGCTGAAGTCGGGGCTCAGGGACGGGATCAACTATATTGAGCCGATTAATGTTCGGGAATACCACTAGTATTCTACACCACGGTCTTCCTTCATCGATATTAATTATTATAACTGCACTCCCGAGCGTATACAAGATCTGTATTTCGGGGGAGCTCGAACTTCGGGGAAATTTTCACCGATTGAACGTGGCACAAATATATTAAACCATATTATTAATATATCATGATACGGTATAATATGGCGTAATATGATATGGAGATAATACAATACATACAGATATGATACAGGCCCTGAGAGCATAATACGACATCCATATAATATGATATGGAGGATTTCATATCAATATCATACGTGGACAGCACTAGAACTTGCAGGCCCCGGAAATTTTGGGTAGTAAATTACCTAGTTTGTTGTACCCCCCGGAGTTTCTTCCGCAACCCTAGGCTTGCCACCCAGCCAGCACCAGGAGTATTGGCCCACGAAATTCGAATGCCTACCCCCCTCTACCCCCCTTTGACTCCCCCTGACTCCCCTTTACGTTGGTCCCACTTGGTCGACACAAGGCCAACACAAAGCCGAAAACTGTCGAACATGAAGTGGCTCTCTGAAGTGGCTATCACTTCGCCAAAGGTTCACATTGCGCTGTTGACTTATGGTGGATATTCCTTCGATACAGAAATGCTGGGCGGCCTGGGCCCCACCGTGCCTTCCGAGCCTGAGCGGAGCTTAAAGTTTTGATGCTGACCATTGACCGTTGGTGGGAACCGTGGTAACCTCGTTGTACGCATTGGTCATCGGGAAGGCCTCCGCAGCTCGTCCTAATTTCTATCGGTCGCGAGAGAACCGACCCACGGGGCCGGTGGTGCTTCAGGAACAAGATAGCGGATTTCACCGATAAGAGCACCGGAGCGAGTTCTTTCCGGGGTTCTTTCATGAAATTATTCAGCGCCACCAGCTGCACCACCGGTTCTCTCGGTTGTCTCGCTCCAGCCGCTGTACTTGCCACCGGACATATCAAACTTCATTGCGACCATCGTTTTTTTTCGCGCATGAAGCTAAAATAGGTATCGTCAGTTCGCACGAGTCGACATGACAAGGGAATAACACCCGACGTCTCTTGCTCCCGACGCTCATCTGCACCCTCGCTGGTCTCATGGACAGCACCGAAGGCACGCTATCCCAAGAACTGTTGCCAAATATCTTTACTTCTCAAAGATGTTCGCGCATGTTGACTTGATCCACAGCTTCCTGCAGGATTGCTGCCACCTCCTGGGGATATGTGAATCAAGTCCCGTGGTTTTTTTGACAGTGACTGACTCCATCTATAAGCGTTCTTATACTGGGACCATCTCATCACACTAGGTATCGCACCAGCGCGGTTTTCCGTCCAATATCATTCACCTCACGTTTAAACAGATCTGGAGGTCCATCATATCTGGAAGCGCAGGAAAACGACCGGCACCTACTGGTTCTTCATAAATCGTTACCTCGGATTCATCAGCAACATCCCCGTCGCAATTTTGCCTTTCTTCTCCCTGGCTCCGCAGGTGATTCAGTGTCCATTTCGCACACAGCCCTATTTTACCTCCCTCACTAGCGATGTATGCAATACATCCTATTTCGCCAGGTTATATTATTGGCAAGTCAGTTTGTGGTCTCAAGTATGCCTTTTTTGGCGATTATTTCTGCGCTTACTGTCCGCAGTAATCTTGGTCCTGCGAATCTACGCTCTATACGACTGCAATTTGCGGATAGCGGGTTTTTTAGTTGGGATCGGGATGTGTGTAGTGGTAGTTACTGGGGTGCGCTCCGGACTCTAGCGCAAAGGATGTAGAACCACTGATGCCGATCCTCGCTCTAGTGGTCAATGCACGGCCAGCACGCGCTCCCCTCATCCGCAAGTGGATGTCATGTCGAAATAACCGGGGCCACGTAGGACCATCCTAATTTCACGAGGGACGTCTTGGCTAACACTTAGTCCTTTTTAGGGTCCAACGTCTGTGTTTAACTCTCTCTCTCTCTCTCTCTCTCTACACATCAACTAATCGAGATCTCCCGACCGCAGAATTGGCTTTTCCGTGGGAAGGCCTCTTTGTGTTCGATACTGTAATCTTCGGACTGACGGTTTTCAACGCGTATACGACGACGCGCCAGTTGGGCTCGCTCATGCATCTGCCGCTGCATCGAATCATCATGCGGGATGGTGTGTCTTTCTTATTATTCGAGCAGAACACATTCGACATAGCGCATGACCTCAGGTACCCTATATTTCGGGTGAGGCGATACTGCTCCATTTTCATGTTGTACCAAATTGAGCCAGGTCATGTTCAGCATAATGGCGCTGGCCAACCTCGCGAATATCTGCACCTTTTATGTAGGCCTTCCTTCAGAAGATCCTCTGTTTCAACCACTGACTACCTCGCTTCTCTTTCAGTTGGGTGGAGTACAGCTTCCATTTACATATACTCGCCTTGAACTCACCTAAAACCAGCCTCTTTTCCACGACTCCTTTGCGACGTTCGCGAGCTGGTAAGCCAGAAGCCCCGAACCGGAGCATGGCCCTGAACGGATTACAGCATCTCTGTCACCATGATGTCGCGCTTGATGCTGAACCTCCACGAGCACGCTGATATCGGGATTCTCACCAGCTGGGATGCCTCCGTCTTCCGAGACGACACACGTGCACTTCCATATCCTCCTTCAGAGGATGCAGCGGAGGCGGAGAATGTCTAGAAGAAACATGAGTCCTATATTATACATATAATACAGCTTAAATGCCTGTAAACTCCTTTAACCTTGCGGTACGCGCACCGTATTATTGCCAAGTCCCTTGATTCATGACGAGACCACTCACATATCAGGGCCTGTCAGCATATTATCCGAGCCAATGGGCGTTCGTTCGCGGTGCAGCTACTTCAGCGACGTTTCCTTCAACCAGCCCCAGTCTGCCGTCATCCGCATCTTGATAGTACAAGGACGCATCTTTCTCAATCACAGGAATCACAGAAGCCTCCTATTCTGGCAGCGCATCGCTGCCGGACACCTTCCCATCCGGCGCGGGTTCGCTTTGGCCGCCCCAAATAAATGAGACGAGCAGCTGGTGCCCGACTGCCTCCGTGGCCACACACCGCCGGTGGCGCAGTTCTTGGAACGCGTGGAGGAAATCTAGGATCTGCGAGTGATTGCCGGCGCAGGTACGAGAAAAGCTTTTCCGAGGGCGGCGCCGTCCTCACGGCTCATTAGTCTCTTATAAAGATGTTCGTTCCTCGCATGTTGTATAAGGCCATTCCGTTTCCCCCGGTGACATTCGACTACTAGCGAAGGACCGACGGATCGGATCCCGCTCCGTTCCATGCCGATCCGCCGATACCACTTTCCCACGTACGAGCTACGGATGACCCCGCTTTACGTTGCTTGCCGTGTTCTCAAACCAGCTTCCATCCGATTCTACGTGCTAAACGTCCTCTTCAATTCATTTTCCGAACAACTCCAATGGCTGATTATATTTTATATAAGATTTCCATCGATTTCACACCAGTTTGGGTGAGATCCGCTGAATCAGTGACTCCAAAAAAATCTGCGAACTTCGTGTATGGTCATTAAGATGCAATACTGAGGTGAGAGCAGAAGAATTGATCCCCGGGCTCGCCATTGAATTGTCCCGACATCTTACAGGCATGGCCTGTGTACCGTACACCACCGACGCTCTTATACGCCTGAGCGTGCCATGAACAACATGTCTTACAGAGCCAGTGGCTGCTGCCGCGAAACGAAAACACGTTGCAGGCATCGCCTTAATGCGCCGGCGGGGAGTCGAACCCCAACTCGCCATTGAAGTCTTGGCACTTGCCTAACTGTTACAGGGACGGCGCGTGTACCGTACACCACCGGCGCACATAGTATACTCCGCAGGTAAGGCTTGCTATGAGATTTATATATGTATGTTCCATTGATTTTACAGCCTCCTCCCTCAAACGACAAGCGACGCGCACCCCAGGTACGCACCGACTCGCATTCTACGCTCCGAATCCACGCTCGACCCCGCCCGAATCCACGCTCCAAACCCCCAGTTCCAGCCGACCCTGCACGATAGAATCCCGAAATCCATATGTAAGTATAACTATAAGTACCACGCCGAACGTGAATAACGCTGATACTACTCTCCCGTGTCCGTCCCGCCCATCCACGCGCGCATAAATTACCCTCACTCCTATAGATTACCCACTCCCTGCATCCACCCGGCTAACAACACCCATTCCCATCCCCCCCATCCTTCCCTGCCTTGCCCCTCAACCTCGCCTCCGCCCCGTTCCCCCCATTCCGTATCCCACTCGCCCCCCAAACAAGCGATAACCGTGGATCCCCCTCAAACGATAACTCAGCCTGCGCCTCCGCGTGCGAAGCGAGCAAGCGCCTTGCGACCCACCCAAACACATCCCCACGCCCGCGCCCGTGCGCGCCGAGGTGCGGAAGTGCGCGGCGTGTGAGGAGGCAAAGGGGGAGAGGGAGGGGAGGTCCGGTTCGAGGAGGTATTTAGGGGCGGGTGAGATGACGACGTTGGGGTGAGGAGGAGAGGCTGAAGGAGCGGGAGTAGGCGCAGCGGTCGAAGTAGTAGCGGAAACAGATAGGGAGGAAGAGAGTGAAGCGAGCGCCCCCACCGCGCCCGCTCCACGCGGGAAGTGCTGCGGGTACGGCAGGGGACTCAGCGCGCTCAAGCTCGGGCCTGCATCTCCGCCATTCTCATACCTCGCGGAGGCGGTGTCGATCGCACTGGGGTTGCGGCGTGAGGGGGACGTTAAATTTGGGAGGGAGGAGGGGGACGGGGAGGACGCGGAGGACGGGGAAGCAGGAGGGGAGAGGGAAAGGGACGAGGAGAACAGGTGTGCGGGCGTGATCGTCGCCTCGCTCGCGCTCCTCGCACTTGCACCACACTCCCACTCCCCACACTCCCGCCTGCATGCACCTGCGAGGCGTCCCACGATGACTGCACGCTGTGGAAGCACTCACTCGCGCCGCTGCTAAAGACAGAGGAGGACGGCGTGTGGTACATGGTCAGCGTGGAGGTTATGGTGGAGGCATACTGCGAGGAACGCGTCTTGGAGGTCGGCCGTGATTTCGAGTGGGAGTGGGAGCGGAGGATCGATATAGGGAGCGGTGTGGATAAGGGTGGAGAAGCAGGGGCAGGGGAAGGGGCGGGGCGCGCGGTGAGCTCGGAGGACGCGTGGTCGTCTGCGTCTGAGTCCGCATCTTCGTCCTCGTTGGAGAGCGTCAGAGATGGGGACAGCGTACCAGGCGAGGCGTGCGGCGTCTCCGCGCATGGGACGAGCCAGCGCACGAAGCGCGCGCCCTGCGCCGCGCTCACCACCTCCCCCTCCCCCTCCAGTAAATCACATTTATTCCCCCCCACAACGACGCAAAACCGGGCCCGCTTTACATCCTCCTCGCTCACAGGCGTGCGCGCGCGGAACTCGGCCCACCAGTTCGTCAGTGCGACGAGCGTCTCCAGGCGCGTGACGTCGTACATGAGCACCGCGGCGTCCGCGCTGCGGAAAAACGCGGCGGCGAGCGAGGCGAAGCGCTCCTAGCCCGCGGTGTCCCAGATCTGCAGCGTCGTCGGCTCGGCGGCGGGAGGGTCTTGGTGATGAAGTCGGCGTCGATGGTGGCACGGTAGGAGGTCGAGAAGCGCGCGGAGATGTACTAAGGGTGTAGAGCGAGTTGTAAGGCGAAATAAGCAAAGGAAATAAGATGGGAATCGAGTCGTGAGTTAGGGTTAACACAGGGAAAGGAGCTCGAGGGACGCACCTGGCCGCGGAGACTCGTCTTGCCGACGCCGGAGGCGCCGATAACGACGACCTTGAATGTGGGCATCGTTGGCCTCAGCGGTAGGCGTATACAAGGGGGACAGCGACAAGAGGCAGATTTGGTGCGTCAAGCAAGCAGATTCGCCGCAGATGCGCAGGGAAGCGAGAACGAGCTCAGAGACTCGCTCAGAGCGTAAAGTCGTCCTGATTGCATATCGATGAATTCTAGGGTATGTGGAGAGCTACATTTGTGGGCTAGATATCCACAGCAGTATTGGACATCGACCCACAGTCAGGCATGGGTTGCAACGATTCGGCGCGGTGAAGGATTCAAGAAAGAAAATGGACGATGCTGTCAATCAGAGGCTGTGCCGCCGCGAATCTTCGAAGGATGTTGGGTGAACTTGAAGCCAAGGGTGTCCAAAGGGTGTGGCTTCCCTTTGGGATCGAGCGTATCTCTCTGGGCACCTCGATTGAGTGAGCGCGATTCTATGCATATGGTAGAACGCACAAATTTATAACTTCGGATCAGGAAACTCACTTACAATTGCACTATCCAGAGTGCCGAGAAGGCCCGCCTTGAATGCTAGCGCCGACGGGCCCGTCATGGTTGATCCTGGAAATTATGAGATATTCCAACGTGTGTGTATCAGCGCACAGATAGCACGGAGAAGTGTTCGTGAAATGCGAAAGAGTTGTGAGGGGTTCCAGCCCTTTGGAACTGCCCAGAGATTTCTGAGCTCAATCCACTTGAAAGGAATTCTATCCGGTAGACATCGACTTGTTTGGAAATCCAGGCAACTTGAGCGCGCTGTGGACCGACACCTCAGCATGATCCGAATCGAGAATAATACTAGCCGGGGCGACTCTGCGCAGTGATTCACGTGTGTGCTGTTTCTTTGCTATGTTTGGCACCGTCTAGCGGGACGATTCAGAGGGCTGTCCTAGAGAGAGAGAAAACGAAATGTATTGGCCCGGCGGCGCCTCCAATCTTCCGGCGGCAATGCAGCGAGCCAGGTGCGTCCAGAATAAAAACCGCCTCGAATCAAAGCACATACGCCGGCGGAGAGTTGAACCCCGCGCTCGTCATTGCACACACTTCGCAATGTGGACAGACATGGTGCTTGTACCACACACTAGCGGTGCTCATAATCTGAGGCTCGTACCCTTGGTGACGTGCATTCCTGACAGGAATTAGGACTATTCGGTGGGAGAGGGAACAAAAGCACAGATATGCGAACAAGCCATATGCGCCAGGAGGAGTCGAACCCCGTCCTCGCCACTGCAGCTTGCATGCCTTTTCCGCCTCGAACGGGCATGGTGTGTGTACCACACACCACTGGCACTCGTATCCATCAGCTACACCCTCGCGAAGCTACGAGCTCCATGTTCCCGTGTACCTGTTAGTGCCCGCAGTACCCTTTTTTTCTTTCTTTCTTTCTTTCTGCAATTCAGGGCAACGGGTGCGTCCGAGAATAATGATAAAAAGTCTGAACAGCTGCATGCACCGGCGGGGAGTGGAACCCCGGACTCGCCATTGGTCATGAATTCCTACCATCTTTAGCCTTCATAATAGGCAGGGCATATGTACATCGCCGGCACTCCTACCGTCTGCACCTGCGCTATGAGCTACCTTCCAACAGCTTTATTCGGGTGCGAGCAGGGAAAAAAAGTTTCTGTAGAAGTAGGAGCACGGTCACTGAATAAGCCGAGATTCGTGAGAATTCCGCACAGCCGCTTCAGGAAAGTCCTAAATGCTATGATAGACATAAGGCCAGCTATTTGGAGCTATATACGTCTTTGACTGACCATGGTGGTCTATGAGGAAGTATTGAGTTGCTACATGCATCTATGTGATGCTATAGTTATCTATAAAATTTCGGCCTGTCTTTGAATGACTATAAGCGTCTACATCATGAAATTATTAAATTTAGAGTGAATTCATACAAAGAAATTCTACCACATTGACTGGTATAGGTAGAGACTTCCCCAGTTATTAAGGAAGAAACTGCTACACTCACCTAAAAATTATCAGAAGTCCATTGTGTGAGACTCGGATAGTCTCGACCGGGGTTTTGGAGACGCTAAGCCTAGCGGGTCCGACGTCGATCTTTTGTGGTAAAGACCCTACGCTCTAGTAAGGTCCGAACGATCAACGGGGTTCGACAGGAGTCGGATATCCGTACACCTGGATGTCGTTCCCCTAGGCTAGACGGATATCCGTTCAGGCCTTGGTCGTTTGCGCACACGAAGTGTAGCTAGAAATATGGGTTAGTGTATTATAAGCCTAAAACTCACTATAGCCTGTGCCCGTGCTCGGAGAGTCTCGACGAGTCACTTTACGCTTCGGAGAGCCTCAACGAAGTGCAACTGGATCTCTGAGGGACTCGATGAGAGTTCAGAATTAGGGATAGGCGATGGTTTTTGGATGAAAGAGTTGATGATTGTCATGTGACCAACTACTGACTAATCCGTTCGTAGTGAAGATTCAATATACCTAACTGAAAGAAATACGATGAGTCGTGAGAGATCATAAAAGGAATACGATGAGTCGTGAAGGTTCGTGAACTAAAAGATAAGAAAGAAAAGAAAAATATACTGATTCCTTACACATTGTGGATTTACGTCTGCCCACCCAAAGTTGTGAAATAGTTGACATATCTGACGAATGTCGGCCAAATAGATAACAGACCCTCTCAAACTGCCATCGGCCCGAGGCGGAGGTTTGGAGATGGCAAACATGTTGTGGTTAGGTTCGTGAGAGGGCCTGAACGAGGAGAGCCACTCCACCTGCCCACGTGGCCAGGCCATATCGAGCCCACAAATACATGTATAAAGGGCTCCATAATATAGAGGTTATTACTTGGGGGTGATGGCCGTGGCACGGCCCGGCAAAGTCGCACTTAGGTTCGTTTTTCTTTTTTTTTCTTGTTCTCTAGCATCCCAACAATGGTTTATTCACTGCACACGAAATAAAATTTTGTATTTAAAGTCATCCATAAGTGATCTGTTATTGAAGCTTCGTGTCTCACAACATTCGCTATGTAGAAGTTCTCGACGTCGGTGTCAGAACCATCTAAGATGATAAGGGAA